TATAATTAACAGCAAAGAGAAAATTACATGAGCTTTACTATTAGAAACAACACATACCTTGACCCTCACTCTAATGAGCCAACAGTATTTTAGTCCCACGCCATTTAAGGCTTTCTTTCTCTTTATGCGCAAGAAATATTATAAAAAAGAAAGGGGACATACACTATAATTTTGGTTATTACTTAGATAAATAACATGGAAAGTGCAAAAGAAAGATAATTTCTCAAGTAGAGAGAGAATATCTTGACACATAATCAATTGGTTATGTTTGAAACTTGGAACCAACTTAAGCAATAGACCTTTCGCCAAATCACATAGAATTAAAGATCATATAGAAATTGTTCCCTTGAATATCTTAAAATTTTAACACCAAAGGACAGCCAAAAATCTATGTTTTTCGTACTTTATATTTCATAAGACATTTCTTATAGATTTATGATGTCATCACAATATGAATAGAAACAAACACAAGCTTACAAGTAATAAAACCAATTATGGACGTACCTTTCTAATACAATTAGGATAAACTTTGTAGGGTCGATGTATGTGTAGTTTAAATAAAAAAGTATTTCATCATTAGGTAATTTACAATTAGATCCTTAAATTATACAAATATTTAAGGGCATAAAAGTCGATTAATATTTCTGGGATATTTTAGTCGTTCAACATTTAGCATAAATTATTCGTGCTTTTATAATATAGATAGATAGATAGATTATATCTTTCGCTTCCTTTTTCTTTTCCTATGTATCCAAACCTGTATTTGAATTTGATTTTAACTTATTTTTTCTGCTTATTACACTTGAAACGTTACCTTTTCTCCTTATTTTTAACCTTTATTCCTTTGCTTATCTTGTTGATGTAAATCGAACTGAAGTAACCCAAAATGGATAGAGTAATAATTCAATTTTCATTACTAGCTAGTGAACATGAAAAACAATGATACTCCTAGTTTCAAAATTCTGAATTCGCCTTTGACTACTTACATGCACAATCATACTAAACTCTGTTGTGAAACCAAGGCTCTAAGTGCAATATTGCATGTCTTTGGACTACCGAGTACTGTAGTAGTTTTAGCTAATTTAACATGTCTAATTAGATTTCGGTTAGGTTTAAAGAGTTTTTCGATGAAATTTATTTTTTGACCAGAAACATAAGTTTGATAATTTTAATTAAAATGGCAAAAAATCTTGAGTTGAATGATTTTAAAGTGATAAAAGTAGTTTAGTAACTTTTGCAACAAAAAACAATGTAAGTTAGGTAACCATTTAGGAATTTACTCTCAGTTTTGAAGGTCGTCACGATGATTATGAGAAAGCTAATTTGGCTTCTTGAAAGATTGATCAAAGTTATTACGAGGCTGAATTGGATATAAGTCCATGCATTGTTATCTCATATGATCTTTGTTTTGGTTGAATAAATTAAAATATGTCATTAGCTTCTTTAAGAGAACTTTTTCTTTAAGAAGCAAATTAAACGAAGATTGAGAAACATGACGCCTAAATTTCAAAGTTACAAGGAATTAGAATTTAATTAAACTTAGACTTAAAAGTAACCTGATTTATTTGTTGGTCTTATTGACATTAGAATTTACACGAAATGTTTATAGACACACAAAAAACTAAAATGCCACATCCTTAGGAATTGCTGAAAGAAATAAGTTCTAAATATGATTTTAACGTAGGATAACATTAATGCAATCCATTTATAATCTATCACAATCATAGACTCTTACTTTCATATAAAGGTAACATCCATGTTTGGATATACGGAACTAGGGATGTACAAAGAAAACCGATAAATCGCACCAACCCGACAATCCGAGTCAAACCGAGAAAAAAACCCGATTGTGGTTTGGTTTGATTTGGTTTGGTGTTGAAAAAAAACCACGGCCGTAATTGGTTTGGTTTGGTTTGGTTTTAACTAAAAAAAGTCAAACCGAAACCAAACCAACCCGACATTCCATTTATACAATTTTGAAAAATATTTTATGCATATGAATATTTATTTCAAATATAGTTTATAAATATTTTATAAACTTGTTCATAGTTTTATCTTTTTAAGTTATTTAAAGTTTGGACTTAACATTCTTGAATGGTCCAATAAAATTTATAGCCCATAAAGGCAGTAAGTCAAATAAAGTTCAAATCAATACTAATGCTAATAAAGGAAATTCAATTCAACACTAGGAATGACAATAGTGTTGGATATCTATTTTTTTGGTTTTGCATTGATTTATAATGAGAATGTATAACCTAGTTTATCTTTTTTTTTATGCTTAGTTGTGTAATTAATAGAATTTATTAGTTGTACTTATTTAGTACGACCTATATAGTATGTTTAGATTATGTTAATTTTTATTATGGCGTATTAGTTAGTAATATATTCTTTGTGCGATTTTATTATCTATGGTATTGAATATTTTAGTACAATGTTATGACTCATCTCATATTATTATTTTATTTTCTTGGAAAATACATTATATAGTTGTATCCTACAAGGACTAAAAAAACTATTTGGAGCATAAGTTACATATTTTTTGCTATTAAGACTTTACTGGAAAAAAAACCCGAAAACCCGAGAAAAATCGAGATTGAAAAATCCGACTTTATTGATTTGGTTTGGTTTATAAATTAAAAAATTCGACACCATTGGTTTGATTTGGTAGTCGAAAAATTCGAACCAACCGCAACCGGTATACCCCTATACGGAACTATAGTTAAATAATGTGCTTTGACAAAGAAAGAAAATTCTTTCGAAAATAAAGACATAGTAGGTTAATCAAGATGTACATAACAACTATATTCTACTTTTACTATAGTGATTTATTCTTTTCTAATTTGTTGGAAGTAATTCATATAATATTTCTTAGTGGTTGAAGAAATAGAAAAATTTGTTTTTGCTCGAAAGTTAAAGGAAAAATACTTCTTCTACTGGTTAGCTGACCTTGTCATATATTTTAGAATGAATTTTAGAATATATAGTTTTTCAAGATATTTTTGTTGGATCATAAAACTTTTAAACCTTTAAAAGCTATGTGTTCTAGCTAAAACTAAAAAGGAAATACAATAACTTGTGAACTTTAAGTAATAAAACTATAAAATTGAAATAATCTTTAACTTGAATGTTTGGACTGTGATAATTAAGGTACTTTTGTGGGGTAGAGTTTTTATAGAGTTGGCTAAACATGATCAACAATCATCATGTTCAGGAATTAATATTTTTTATAACTTTTATTTTTTAACTAAAACACGATTTTTAATATAATATTTAAGTGATTTTTGATTTTTTTTTTATTACAATAAGGCCCGTATCCTAAAACTAATAAGAACAAAAAAAGTAGACACTAACTGAATAAGTGAATCATTGTATTATTTGGCATATATAATAGGAGATTGTATAACTAGAGTAAAATGAACGTAAACGTCTCCATTCTTGCTACATATCCATTTATTTGCAAAATAAATTAACAGTTATAAATGATGGAAAATTGATTTGAAATCGTTATTTAGAATTTTTTTTCCTTCTACTCTATTCTTCACAACCCTTAGCGCGTTCTACTTCATTAGGCAAAAATTGCTTTACTTGCGTCTCAAGTCACCAAAAATTTCCTTAATTTCAAAACTTTCTAGATCCTGGACAATTTAGGAAATTTGAGATTCTTTTTTCTATACTAACCCTTACCCTGCTTCTCAAGTTACCATTTTGTTTCCTTATTTCAAAATTTTCCGAAACCAGGACAGCTTAGGAAAATCTTGAGAATCCTATTCCTACACAAACTAGGCTTTCCTCAAAGTCTATAAAAGCGTTACAGGGCTGTAACAACTGATCATCCTCTTCTCTTGCGTTCTTTTACGAATTGCTCTCTGTATAATCGCTCCAACAGAAATTGAAGATGGTGAATCTACAAACTGCTGTTGAATATAGAGTTATAACAGACGATTCTATCATCCCAATGACGAAGAACAGCAACAACCCTTCTTCTTCTTCTGAGACGTTTTTCATGATCCAAGTTCGGGTTCAACAATTCCTTAAGTATCTGCCAGAGGAAGGGGATTCTATAATGGAGGCACCAGACTGTCCACTTACTGTCAAATCTTTCTACTTGCCGAGTGACGCTGTGATTCATGACGATGCTGCCGATGATATCATTTACAAAATACTATGCTCTGTTGATGTGCCGCTCTATTCAATGGTGCCCATCATCCGAGGTGTCTCTTCCTTTGCTCGGAAACTGATGTCTGAAGCTGCCAATTTGGGTCGCCCTCTGATTCCTATTGTTCTGGGCATTGCGGTTATTACTTGGGATCCCACAGACGCTGTGACGGCGCACCAGAGGAAATTTGAACAAGAGCCCACAGCTAAACGCCAAAGTAAAGATGAACGCCGATACAGGGTCTGTCTTACACCGGTTTTAGGTATAAGATACAAGGAGGAGATAAAGCTGTGTAATTTTTGATTGTTTTTTAGTTTCAGCCAATATTTTTGTAGACTGTAATTAAGCCAAAGAATATGGTTTTTATTACCTCATATAGCAAGCTGGATGTAATTAATTACTCCTTTTAGGTATATCAATTTTCCAGTTCATCTTTATACATCTCTTCGATCATAAATCAATTAGTGCCATAAGAAGATTTTTAAGTTCCAGATTTGTCAATTTATTATCTGTGCAATTACTTGAGTTATGACGATAAATCTTTTTCAAGCACAAACCACTAGCTAGGTTAATTAATTCTTTATGCTTTCGAAGAATTATTAGTTTGACAGTTGTTTTTAATAGCTCAAACATGACAACTCCAAACTGCGCGAATACTATGTATTATCTTTCCTGAAATATATACTAATCATGGACATTTTCTCCCAAAAGGTTAAAAGCTTGGTTTTCTTTAGTTTCAGGACTTGTAGACCACTTTTACACTTGCTTTTATATGCTTAATTAATTATTATCCATCAGCCAATTCCTAGTCAATGAAACTAAAAGATGAGGGATCAATCAAAGGTAGCAAAGGAGAATACCATAACTTCACTTGGTGCAACATTATTGATTAATTAAACATGTGCTAAAAGACACTCCATGGACCATGCCACTACTTCTCGAATTGTAACTCTCTATCTGCAGAATCATAAATGTACTCAAAACATTGGAATTTGGATAATTTTACATGACCACGCTAAATCAAAATGCACCTAAGAGAAGAGAGCTATATTATCTCCAGAAGACAAACGAAAGCTCCATTCAAATAAGAAAAATTCTTTGGTTCTCTATGTTTCATAATGAACTATTTGGAGATGGAAGACAGAGCAAGCCACCATCCACCACCAAATCATGCCCACTCACAAATGTAGAATCATCTGAAGCTAGAAACAGAACTGCATCCGCCAAGTGCTTCACCGTCAGTGTAATTCCCTTCAAACTAGTCAAATTCCCATACATTTTCAGAACCTTCATTGATGTTTCCTGCTCCGCACTCAACATAATTGGCGTCATTACTGCAGATGGCGAAACACTATTCACCCTTATTCCATATTCACCTAATTGCCTTGAAGCTGATCTCATGAGTCCTAACACAGCGTGTTTCGACATTACATAATCCGTCCGCCACGGTCCTGCCCTGCTTGCCGCAATACTGGCTGTACAAATGATGCTCCCTCTAACGCGCTTCTCCACCATGGCTCGTGCTGCGTGCTTCACGCACGCTGCCATGCCTCGTGCGTTGACTCTTAGCACCCTGTCAAATTGGGAAAGATCTAGATCGAGTACCTTTTGACCGGAGTTACCAACGACTCCTGCGTTACTGAACATGATGTCGAGTTGACCATATTTTTGGACAGTTGAATCCACCATTGCTTTCACTTCATTTTCATCACTGACATCGCAGTGCACGTAGCTGCACCTCTGTAAAGGGGTGGATTCCGCCAAAGCTCTGCCCTTTTCATCTTGGATGTCCGCGATGACAACGCGTGCGCCGTGATGGGCAAAAAGGCGTGCTGCTGCTTCCCCAATGCCGCTAGCACCACCCGTCACTATGGCCACTTTGCCTTCAAGCTTTTGCATGTTCACTACAAATTTTTTCCGTTTTCTGCTTTATTTTTAGTGGTGATACCTGGAGAATGGGAAATATCTTTCTAAAAGCTGGGTTATCTGGAGTAGGTGGTCTAATAATGCAGCCAACAGTTAGATGTCTCAGCCTCAAACTAGCCACCAATTGCAGCTAAGGTAAGGGGTCCGCAGTCACAATCCTAGTACAGCCTCTACTTATAATAATTGAGTGACATATTTAGAACAACAAATTTTTTCATGTTTTACCCATAATATTTATTACTCATTTCAAATCATTTTCTCAAATCCAATAAAATATACATCAATTAATATGGGTATCATGGAACTATACATTTTATTTATTATTTCTTAAGGGGCGTGAAGAGTCAAAAGGAGCCAAGTAAAAGCGACCAGAGAGTACAACAAAAATGCTTTTCAAATATGCTATCCAGTTGTAGTTGAGTGACATGACTTATTTTCATCAATTCCTATTAAACAGCATTCTTTGGAGAGACCTAAATTCTTTTATAGGTGAAGCAATCCAGTAATCAATAAATAGATTAATATGCCATGGGTTACGACTTCACAGCAAGAATCTGAAGATATATCTACACAGAAAGGGCAAGTAATGCACAGGGAACATTAGTAAGAACGGCTACAGTGCTCCAAAAGTGAGGAGCATACAGTCTGTGCAATGGCAGATTACACATTTAAGCATCAGCCTGCAATGTGTTTTCTAAATATTTTGGTCACATAAAACTATTCAATACATCACGAATAATCTGAATGAGACTCGTCGTAGAAATCACTGGGGCATGGTGACATGACCTCTTGCTCCAAATATTGCAGCACCTGTTGCATTGAAGGTCTATCATCTGGATTTGCATCAGTGCATCTTGCAGCTATTTCTAGAATTGCTTCTACCGTCTCTACGTCTGCATCTGTGCACCTCTTATCTAGAATGTCTTCCAGTCTATTCTCCTTCAGCAAGGTATTCATCTGTACAGTTTTCACATTGTGACACTATCAATTTGTGGAAATAGTAGAGCTAAATACAGTTAAGGCAAGTACCATATAACTTTCACATAATCTCCAACCAAGGTCTTCTATGAAGTTTTAATAGTCGATGAGAAGCATACCCAGCCAACCACATTTAGGCCTCGATTCACGAAAGATGGATCTGTTGGCCTTTTCCCTGTCACAAGCTCTAAGAGGAGAACTCCAAAGCTATACACATCAGACTTCTCTGTGGCTCTTCCACTTTGCAAGTACTCTGGGTATATTACCAACAAGAAATCGTTTGTCAGACATTTCTGTAGAAGATGAGTAGAGGTTGAAAGGCTTTACAGGAGAGGGAAAGCCTTAAGAAACCAACACCACCACAACATATGGCAAGTGAAAATCAACAGAGGTCAAGAAAAGTAAAAAGCAAATTGGTCCAAGAATGATAAACTTCTATCAGCATCCAACACAACACAAGCATAGCACAGTCCATAAGAAAAATAGGTCAAGGCATTTTGTCCAAACAAAAAAAGAACCATCCAAACTTACTTTACAGCTAACATATACATGATATATATATATATATATATATATATCTCATTATAGGTGCTTATTGAAATAAGTGAGTATGCATACCTGGTGCTAAATAACCAAAAGTACCAGCAACCACAGTTGTAACGTGAGCTTCCTCATCAACCAAAAGCTTGGCAAGTCCAAAGTCCGAAACACGAGGCTCTAGGTTCTCATCAAGGAGTATATTGCTTGATTTAATATCTCGATGAACTATTTTAGGAGAGCAGTCATGGTGTAGGTAGGCTACCCCTCTAGCAGAACCAAGAGCTATTTTCAAACGTGCATTCCAGTTCAACAAACGATCATCCACACGTTCTGCCAAAATGCATAAAAGATGCATGCAATGAATAGCCAAGAGAAGCAAATTGTTTAAATGAAAGCAATAGTGTTTTTCCATCTCTCCAATTTCTTTTTCCACCAACTCTTTTGTAAAAACGCAGAACTTGAGCAGTGTCTTACAGAAAAGATCAATATCTTTAGAAAATATTAGGCAACTGATAAAGAATAAAATCTGAACCACTAATAACAAAGAAGAAATCCAATTCATCTATTGCCTTGGCCAACATGCTCAATGCAAGTGACTGCTCTCTGAACAAAAGAATACCAGTCAGATTCGTTTTAAGCAACTGAAAAGGTAACCACTAACTTCAAAAGGGTGTAAAAAAATAGAGAAGTATCATATTTCTTGCTTTGTGTCTGCAGACTCTACACTCAACAACAATGCACAGAGAAAAGGTCACCCTTTTAACAGTTTCTTTTGGGGCAAGTACATTTTTCAGCTCTTCCTCTTCATCCATATTCAAAGGATGACTGAAATAATGGCTGCATTTGGGCCTAACCAAGAGATGTATGGCAGAAATATTCTTTTTTCGTGCTACATTTTACACAATTTCTATCATTGATGTCTTCTGTAAGCTAAGAAGGCGTGGAGAGGAGGAAAGACTATCACAAGGTTTAAAAGGCAGGAAACATACCATGCAGGAAATTGTCCAAGCTTCCCATGACCAAGTAATCGTAGATGAGAAGCCTTGCAGTAGGAAGCCGGCAGTAACCTCGAAGGTTGACTAGATTAATGTGTTTGATGCTACCCAAGATTTCAAGCTCTCTCTCAAAGACTTGATCAGAGCCTTCACGACTCCGGTCTATCCTTTTAACAGCAAATGTTCCACAATCATTCATAACCATACGATACACAGTACCGAACCCTCCTGCCCCAACAACATCTTCCTCATCAAGGGATTCAATCTTCTCTATTAGCTCACATGAAGGATAAGGGAGATCGCCGTGGAAAGTAATAAGCTTGGCACCTGCAGACTTGGCAAATTAAGACAAAAATACGGAGAAGGAAAAAGAAAATGGTAAATGTACTATTCACCCTCTTACTTGGCTCTTTGTAAATTTGTTTCTTGACTTCTGTGTATTTTTTCGCTGCCCTTTCCTTCTTAGACAACAACCAAACCCAGAGGAAAATAAAGAGGACAATGAGTACGAAACCCAATGTAGATATTGCACCAATAACTGCTGCTCTAACATAGTGAGAGGATCGCTTAGTAGGGACTGCGCAGAAACCACATTAATTTAGCAATAAATCAAACTTTCTACAGAGAAGTAAAGGAGAAAAAAGCAGAATCCACTCGGTTCAGGAAAGCGAAGTTCCAAAGCCAGTAAACTTCTAAAATGAAGTAGAAATAAAGCAGCAAATAACAACCTGCAGCCTCATCACTTTCAGCATGAGGCAATACTACAGGGAATCCCATTGATGTTCTGCAGGGCTTGGCGACTTGTTGGCCACAGAGATCTAAGTTGCCAATAAACCTAAGCATAAGCATTATCCTCATCAGAATAGTCTTCTATAAGACAGCCATTAATAGCAGAATTAAACAATGAAAATGTTATTCATCTCCCAAGATTATAAAGAAGAAAAGTAAATGGCAATCCAATTCACGAGACTCCAATTAAATAGTTGTTTCCCTAAACAAGCTAGTGTTGGTGATTCTAATCCACTGATCTTTCGACAGGTACTCTGCTTAGTTTGTATTTACTAGATATCATGTAACACTGCCACAAACCTAACCTATGTAGCAAACAACATTTACTTACAACGTACCTGGTGAGCAAGTACCTGATTCATCTAGTAATTTATATCTTAAAATGTTATTGTGGTGCCAAGTAGATGGTGAAAAATTATCTTCACTTCTATGCATATTATAGGAAGCAGTATTCATTATTCAAGATATATTGTGTACTCTCTGAGTTTTGAAACATATATCTAAATTTATTTGCAGCCTAAAAGAAAATATTTGGACTCATCAGGCGATATCAAGCGTGGGATTAAATTCCAAAAGAAGGAGCACTTACGACTTGTTTCCGAAAGTGCTTAGAACTCCAACATCAGGAATCTCACCCGAGAAGAAATTGGTTGACAAGTTGCTGAATTGATTTGCAATTTTAACACATTAGCGTAAAGGCATTAACTTGCTGGGTTAAGAAATTATGATGAAAGGAAATTGGACTTACAGATGACGAAGGTGTCTGAGACGACCAAGAGAAGAAGGTATCGCACCCCTAAGTGAATTGCTTGATAAGTCTCTAACAAAGATGAAAAGGCAGCAATCAATAAAACAACCTAATGAATCAAATAATCAGATGATGAATTAAAACATATTTAAATCTTACAATATGGTCAGCATTGAAAGATTTCCAATGTCTGATGGTATGCCTCCTTGAAGATAGTTTGCCCTGAGGTATCTGTATTAAATAATATCTAGCTTGTGACAACTTCATCAAGAAACGGAAATCTCCAAGAAATTATGTTATCACTCAGTTATAGGAAACTCTAACTTACATAGCTCTGAGTTCAGAGCAATTGCCAATCTCATTAGGAATCACACCGTGCAGACTGTTTTCGTGAAGTGCCCTGGTTGTAGGGAAAGAACACAATTTTATCAAGGGAAGCACAAGAGATAAAACTTTAATTTTACCTAGAATTAGCAAGAGTCCACACAAAGAAACAATGCACTAACATAGATAATTTTTGTTGCATTGCCCCAAAAAGCTAAGTGGCATGGAGAAGGGCTATGGGACTTACAATCTCTGCAGTCTGGTGAGTTTTCCTATGCTGGGAGCTATAATTCCTCCCAGTTCCATATAAGGTAAGTTGCTGAAAAATCCAAAAAAATAAATAAACAGCTTTTTAATGAATCCAAGCAACCAAAGCAAAACGAGTGAAGAAAGCACTGATAGTGGAAATAAAAAGAGAAGTGGGCATACATAGATTGAACTCTTTGGTCATTGGGGTGACAAGAAATGCCAGTCCACCCACAAGGTGACTCATCTGAATAATTCCAATTGCTCAAAACATTTTTGGTGTCATTCAAAACGGTTCTCATTTCCAATAAAGAAAAACCTAAAAGGAAACAGAGAACAAGAATCAAAGTTATGACCTTTATAGCTCAAGAACAACATACAATGTGGAAAAGAACCTAATATAGTGCCCACAAGCTAATAACCTTACCATCTGGGGTGAGCGAAAGAGAGCTTTTGCTGAAAATGGTCGTCGCAAACAGAGCAAAAAAGATCAAAATCCGCAGACCCATTTTGATTTCTTGATTAAAAATGCAGATTTGAGCTTAGTTTTTCACTTTGGAAGAGTAGTCTACTAGTCCTTGAGTTCGGGACTAAGTATCAAGTGTATAGTGGAGTAGTAGCAAGTTTACCAATCAAGACAGATCTTGAAAGAGTAAAGCTATAATGAAGAAAATGGTGGGGTTAGGGTAGAAGTAATTAAGATGATTAAAGTTCTTACAAATGGAAAATCCATAATAATGAAATGTCAAGCACGAAGTGAGAAAGACGAGGGTGGGGTGGTGTGTATTTTGAAAAGGAGAAGACTTTACTTTGAAAGTAGTATAGAAAGTTGTGTAATAGAAGAGAGAGAGAGCCGTTGTTCAGACAGCAGTGGAGTTCAAACAGAGTAGTGTAGTTGGACTACGCTCTCGTTTGTTAAATTATGTATACTCGCTCGATATATTTCGATATGTGTGCCATTATGTTAAGGGATGAGTATGTGTAAGTGACGGCTATTGATGTGCGAATGGGGAAATCTTTTTGTTGGAAAAAGGACAAATTTTTGTACTGCCCGAGTCTCAGCAAAAATTTGAACATTTCATGACTTATGTTTGGAGTGTATGTACTCACATTTGCACATCAATTGTTCAAATGTATCACCGATAACAATTTTTTTTTTGGCCAAAAGTATTTTTTTTTTTGCCAAAAGCATTTTTGACTAAAAATTGAGGTGTTTGGCCAAGCTTTTGGAAGAAAAAAAAGTGCTTTTGAGGAGAAGCAGAAGCAATTTTGGAGAAGCAGAAAAAAATAGCTTCTCTCCAAAAACACTTTTTTGAGAAGCACTTTTGAGAAAAATACACTTAGAAGCATTTTTTTAAAGCTTGGCCAAACGTTAATTGTTGCTCGAAAGTGCTTTTCAAACTAATTAGCCAAACACAAATTGATTCTCACCAAAAGTACTTTTGAGAAAAACACTTTTGAAAAAAAGCACTTCTCAAAATAAGCTAATTTTTGCAGCTTGGCCAAACAGGCTACAAACCTTTTTAGTGGGACCTTCTTAGAGAGTCCAGAATCAAAATGTGGTTCTTTTGGACTCAAAGAATCAAAATATATGGGTGAAAAATTAAGAACCAAAATATATATAACGATCTAGCATAAGGTGTTATACCTTAACGATCGTTTGCCCAGTTAAGGTATAGCGCCCTAATATAAGACGTTATATATATAAACCCCTAACATACCGCACTATATATATTATATGGGCCCACTAATAATTCTTCTAGCCTTAACTGACATAATAATAATTCAACTGGGTATAACGCCAATATTTAAGGCGCTATACCTCAAATAATTATACCCCGGGACTGGTTTTTTCCTTATTTAAAGAGGTTAAAGATTTTATAAAAATCCATTCATAAATATTTTCAAGTCTTCTGAAATATTTCTTCATTAAGTTATTTTGCATTTTGTCATAATGTCTGAAGAGCGAAGAATTAGGGTTTCACTATATTGGGAGGGTGAGGTTATTGTGGCAAATAACTTAGTAAGCTATACTTTATCTCCACAGTGTCATGTGAAGTTGCAACTTACAATGGAGTACGATACATTGGTATCATTGTTATGTAAAAAAATAAGTGTGAGCAAACGTTCGGTGAATATTAAAGTAACTGGAAGATATCCATATTCCATGACTCCGTAAAGGGTTGCTTGTTATGCTGAGTTTAACATCGAAGATGATGAAACTTTGAGAGATTTTTTTAGGACTCTGGATGAATACCGAGAATTTCTAGTGATAAAACTGTTGGAAATGTACGCCAAGCCTTAAGACGTTCGCAATAATTAGGTTGCGCAAAGTAGTGATATCCCTCAATCATCGGGTGGTTATTTTGGAGCAGTTTTAGCTAAACAGGTTCCAGGTGAAAGAGTTTGGCATGATCTAAACTTATCTCCACAGGCGAATGAGGAGCAAGGAAATAATTTGTCTCATAGTTTACATGATCCACAAGCCGAGTGGTAAACTTCAGTTTTTCTTTGTGTTAAGATATTTATTTTTATGTATTGAATTTGTATTAACACTCATATATCCATAGGGATACCGGCCAGATATGAATTTTACACGTTATGAACCAACGCTCACTTGGAATATGCCTAGTTTGGTGTGTTGGATCATGGTGGTCCATCCGGAAGTTATCAACCACAGGATAATTGATGTTTTATACTTCAATACCACACAAGAAGAGGGGTGATTTGTGTGGTACCCAAATTTTCGCTTAACTTGATTATAGAAGGACCTGATTCTTCTATGTGTTCCAACCATTACTGTTGCGAAATAATAAGTACAGAAATTAAAGAACGCAAAGATTTTACGTGGAAACACCTGGCTCAGAAGGTGAAAAAAACCACGACCTACTTTCCAGTAGAATTCTCCCAAACTTTCCACTAAAATCACTGAGCCAAAAACTGCATTTACAAAAACTCTTTTGTAAACCTAGGATTAACTCTAATCCCGTTGTACCATACAGCCTCAACTGTTGCGACAACTTCAAGTTAACTCTAACTTGAAAACTCTGAGTACCTAATACAATTGCTTCTAGATAAGTTGAAAGGTACAATATGAAAACCACCTACTACAATTGAACTAGAATAAAAGACAGACACTTGGAACTGGTTCTTCTATCTGGTTCAAGTAGCTTCAGGTTTGCACGCTTGAATCACACACAAATTGCTTGCAAAATTGCCTTGATATTTTGCTCTCAATTTACGTTTTACTTCTACTTATGTGCGTTACCTATAAAAGAGAACAACACTGATATTTATGGAGTTAGTAAATAGGGATTGACTAGAATTCTGATGCTACTCTTCCATGGTGGAAGAGTTCTAGTTGAACTCATCCTCTAACTCTATCCGTCTCTTAAGTAGTGTTCTCTTTGTGTAAGGAGTCTTTCTCCTTATCCAATATGCAACCTTTTCGATCATGATCAGGAGATATCACTTCAGGTAAGTTAGGTTTATCTCCTTCACGTGCATCTCACATGCTTGAGTTGACCATATCTGTGCCTCACTAGGATGGACTTGGTCCATGTCTGAGTTCCTTTGTCAGTCTTCAAAACTCACATTTACTTGGGCCAACAAATTCCCCCTTTTTGATGATGACAAACTCCGTGCTTTCCACTCACATAGGCCCTGTCAGAACTCATCTTATTCATTAATGCAAAGTTAGAAATTTTTTACTTATCATCAAGGACTAGGTTCATTAGGTTATAAACATCACTTATTCAGAATATAAAGCACAATATCTCTTCCCCCTTTTAGCATCATCGAAAAGTTGCATAAACACAGTGTGATTCCCAGAATTTTAACGATTACTCATGGCCACTAGGGCAACTGCAAGTGCAATCATGGATTAATCATCAGTAATCACCAAGCATATTCAAACTATCAAGGAAATATAAACAGTCAACAAGAGCAAAAACAGTAAACTTCATTGATAGGGGATATGATTCTACAACAATCCACAAAAAGAAACAAAAATAGTCAAAACATGAGCAAAACAGGAAAAATCCCTAATTTGGGTCACTGAAAGGTCTAGACACGGTTCAGGAAATGAAGGCTAAAGATCTTAAGGCTTGGAAGAGCTGGAGGGTTAAATTTTGGCTTGGAGAAGGTGCAACATATTTTGAAGAATGCCATCATTCTTCTCATTTTCCTTTGTGAGCTCAGTTCTGAGAGCATCTCTCTTAGATTCCACCTCTGGTAAACGAGCCTTCAGCCTAGCCATCTCAGCATCCTTTGCCCCACTATCCTGCACCAGAGCTCTGACTTTGCTATTTATAGGTGTCTTCTTAGATGAACCAGGTTCATTAGGAATGGCAGTAACCTCATAGTCACAAGCAATCAAAGTGTTGATTCCAAAATGGTCTTTGTTTGTGGCCATCTCCCACTTCTTCAGTGGCACCTTACAATGATCCATAACAGTAGTCAGAATAAACCCATAAGGGGTGGCATGGGCCTTGGAGCCATTGATAACCCTTTCTAGTAGCTTGATAATGAATGCGGGCCAGTTGATCTGCCTTCCACTTTCAAGACACTCCATCAAAACCAAGTCCATATAGTTAGTAATGTGCCTTCTTTCCTGCCTAGGCAGTAAACACTTATTGATAAATTCAAACAGGACTTTGTGGCAGGACTTTATTTCACTCTTATGCACAACTTTGGCCTCATTCACTTCTGTGACATCACAGAATTTCCTGGTGATTGCGAGGGCAGTAGGAAGGGAGTCCAGACTTGGCCATCTTTGCCTTATGTAGTCATCATAGCCTTCATAAGGAACTTCAAGGATCCCACCCAACTCCTTTGCATCCAAGGTCACTTGAACCCCTTTCACCTGGCTGGTAACTCTGCCATCCTTGACCTCTGCATTTGCCATGAATTCAATGATCTCATTCCTTGTTAGCCTACCATCCAACTGAAGGACCATGTCCTTCCAGCCTTGAGCAGCTAGTGCATCAACCAATCGAACCATCCCTGGTTCCACCAAATCCTTCAAAAGTCTACCCTTCAAGATTTTTCTTTTGCCAAACTTGGCCAACTTATCTTGTTCATGGTCAGATTCACCCTCTTCTTCATCACTCCAATCTTCATCTTCAGTAATCTTCACTTACTTGGCTTTCACTGCAGACCTTGTTCTCTTGGCCAATGAAGGTTCAGCAGTCTTAGACACGGAAGAAGACTTCTTGGAAGAAGTCATGGTCTTTTTGGGCTTGGGGGTTTGAACCTCCATAGTTGTGTGTTCGTCCTGATGGACCTGTTCCATCTCATCCACATCAAAGCCTCAGCATGCTCTGTAACGTTAGCTTTCCCTTTATCCATCCTCTTCTTCTTACTTTCTGCCGTAGCCTTTTGTAACTCACTCTCACTCTGCTTCACTATACTTCTTGTGGCCCTTCCTTTTGATAGGGGAATCTCAGAAGTTGTTGGAGAAGTAGCCTTTCTTTTCTTGGTATTCTTTGCAGTGCTGGGGGCTTTTGGTGTTGGGATTCTCCTTTTCTTTGGATTATAGCTTGCACCCAATTTCTTCAGAAGGTCTGCTAGGGTCTCCTCAATAGATGAACCAGGTTCATCTGCCTGTGAACTGAGATTAACCAACCCTTGAGCAGCCTCCCCTGAACCACTTCCCCCTGTTTTCTTGCTACCCTCTTCCACAGTTTCTTGTTCAGCCCCACAGATAGTCGGTCTAACTATTTCAAAGTGGGTGAAGAATCAGCCACTTCTTTCCCTTTTCCCCTCACATCACTACTCACACCCTCACTCTCCTTTTCTTTTTCACTTTTATTTTTACCTCTTCTCCTTCTTGACTCAGGCATTTCCACATTCCTAACAGACCCAACCAGAACAAACCAATTGTCTAAATTTTCAACTAGAAC